AATGAAGAGGAGTTTAGTGCACCCGAGGGTCACTTTGGGACCGCCTTGGTTGCAAGAGAGCATTAACTGCACGTGTTAAGGAGGACGAGCTTCAACGGGAGAACATCTTCTACACTAGGTGCTTCGTCAATCAAGCACTTTGTAGTGTGATTATTGATAGTGGGAGCTGCACAAATGTAGCTAGTTCACTCATGGTGGACAACTTGAAACTGCCTACGAGGGATCACCCGCGACCCTACAAACTCCAATGGCTCAACAATTCTGGGGAGGTTCGAGTAACCAAACAGGTTCTTATATCCTTCCAAATTCATAAATATCTGATGAAGTATTATGTGATGTTGTACCTATGCAGGCTAGTCACATTATACTAGGTAGGCCTTGGCAGTTTGACAGGCAGGTACTTTTGATGGTGTGACTAACAAGTATAGCTTCTTGTACAATAGTAAGAAAGTCACCTAGCTCCCCTTTCCCCAAAAAGTGCATGAGGACCAATTGAAATTGCAACAAGAGTTTGAGAAGTATAGTGCAAAAAGAAAAGAAAATGAGAGAGCCGAGGCAAAAAAAGAAAGGAAAAAGGCTATAGATAGCTCGGCAAGTGAGGTAAAAATCGAGGGAAAACAAATGCTCCTGATAAAAGCCAAGAAAGTGAGGAAGTTAATGGAGATGAGCAGCCACTTCTTATGCTTGTTAGCAAGAAGTAGCCTGAATGTGCATGAACTTGATACTAATACCTCTCGAGGTTAAGTCTCTTTTACAGGAATAGCTGATATCTTCCCCGAGGACGTGCCAAGTGGATTGCCACCACTTAGGGCATTGAGCATCAAATAGACTTCATCCCTGGAGCTTCATTGCCAAATCGCCCAGCTTACAAGAGCAACCCGGAGGAGACTAAGGAGTTACAAAGGCAAGTGGACGACTGCTTGGCAAAGGATGGGCACGTGAGAGTTTAAGCCCGTGTGCTGTTCCAGTCATTTGGTGCCCAAGAAAGATGGTACGTGGAGAATGTGTACTGATTGCAGATCCGTAAATGCCATCACGGTAAAGTATCGCCACCCTATACCTCGCTTAGATGACATGCTTGATGAGTTACATGGGGCTGTGTTCTTTACCAAAATTGATCTCAAAAGTGGGTACCATCAAATTAGGATTAAGGAGGGGGATGAATGGAAAACTGCCTTCAAAACTAAGTATGGCTTGTATGAGTGGTTAGTGATGCCTTTTGGGCTAACTAATGCACCTAGTACCTTCATGAGGTTAATGAATCATGTTCTGCGTCCATTCTTAGGAAAATTTGTGGTAGTTTACTTTGACGATATCCTAATTTATAGCAAATCTTATGATGAACACCTAGAGCATATTAGGGCTGTTATGGATGTACTTCGAAGAGAGAAGCTCTATGCCAATCTCAAGAAGTGCAATTTTTGCACTAACGAGCTTGTGTTTCTAGGGTTTGTTATAAGTGCGCAGGGAATGAAGGTGGATGATCAAAAGGTGAAAGCTATTCAAGAGTGGCCAACACCAAGGTCTGTGGGTGAGTTCGAAGCTTCCATGGCCTTGCGGGTTTCTATAGGAGATTCGTGAGGGACTTTAGCACTATTGCTGCACCCTTGACCGAGTTGATCAAGAAGAATGAGAACTTCCATTGGGGAGATTCTCAAGAACAAGCCTTTCGCGCTTTAAAGCACAAACTCACACATGCACCTGTACTTGCTTTACCTGACTTTTCTAAGACATTTGAAATTGATTGTGATGCTTCAGGTATTGGAGTTGGAGCTGTGTTGAACCAAGGAGGAAGACCTATTGCCTACTTTAGTGAGAAACTCAATGGGGCTGCACTGAACTACTCAACTTATGATAAAGAGTTGTACGCCCTCATTCGAGCACTACAAGTTTGGCAGCACTACTTAAGGCCTAAGGAATTCGTGATACACACTGATCATGAGTCCCTTAAATACCTTAAGGCCAGCACACCTTGAGCAAAAAGCATGCAAGGTGGATCGCATTCGTGGAGTCCTTTCCATACGTGATTAAATACAAGGCTGGTAAGTCTAATGTGGTTGCGGATGCACTCTCACGAAGGTACTCTCTACTCACTTCCTTAGATGCTAAGTTGTTAGGGTTTGAGCTTATTAAAGACATCTATGCACAAGATAGTGATTTCGGTGAACTTTACCTTTCTTGCAAACACACTGGGCAAGGTAAATTCTTCATTTCCGATGGTTACTTGTTTTATGCCAATCGGCTTTGCCATCCATCCGAACTTTTGGTACGAGAATCCCATTCGGGTGGCCTTATGGGACATTTTGGGGTTGATAAGACTCTTGCCATGCTGCAGGAGCACTTCTATTGGCCGCACATGAGAGAGATATTGCACGGGTGGTGGAGCGATGCTTAGCTTGTAAGAAAGCTAAATCCAAGGTACACCCGTATGGCCTTTACACCCCGTTACCTATTTCTAGTGCACCATGGGTTGACATTTCTATGGATTTTATACTTGGTTTGCCTAGATCCAAGTATGGCCATGACTCCATTTATGTGGTTGTTGATAGATTCTCTAAAATGGCACACTTCATTGCTTGTCATAAAATGGATGATGCATCTCATATTGCTAATTTGTTTTTAAAGAGATTGTGAGATTGCATGGCATTCCTAGGACCATTGTATCTGATAGAGATGTTAAATTCCTGAGCTATTTTTGGAAGACACTCTGGTCTAAGTTAGGCACCAAATTGCTATTCTCTACTGCTAGCCACCCCCAAACTGATGGTCAAACCGAGGTGGTAAATCGTACATTAGGTACCTTGTTGCGTGCCATCATCAAAAAGAACTTGAAATCTTGGGAAGAGTGTTTACCTCATGTTGAGTTTGCTTATAATAGGGCTATCCATTCTACTACTGGTTTCTCTCCATTTGAATGTGTTTATGGTTTTAATCCGCTAACACCACTTGATCTAGTGCCATTACCTAGTAATGAGCGTGCACATTTGGATGGTAAGAAACGTGCAGAGTTTGTTAAGCAACTGCATGAGAAAGTCAGGGCTAACATTGAGAGGAGAACTGCTCAATATGTGAAGCAAGCCAACAAAGGGCCAAAAGTGATTTTTGAACTCGGGATTGGGTGTGGTTGCACATGCGCAAGAACGATTTCCTGTTCAAAGGAGAAATAAATTACACCACATGGTGATGGACCGTTTCAGGTGTTGGAGCGCATCAATGACAACGCCTACAAACTTGACCTTCCTGGTGAGTATGGAGTTAGTGCTACATTTAATGTCTCTGACTTAGCTCCTTTTGATGCAGATGATGCGTTTGATTTGAGGGCAAATCCTTCTCAAGAGGAGGGGAATGATAGCATCATGGTACGTGGGCAGGCCAACAATGGCTCGAGTAATCGAGGAGCTAAGGATCACGTGTATGCCCCAAGTGGACCCATTACTAGGGCTCGCGCAAAGAAACTTCGTGAGCAACTCAATGTACTTATTCAGGCCATACACAAGTCTTTGAAGGATTCATACACTCAAGTGAAGGTGGTCGCGGTCCGATAATGAGCATTGAAGCTACACTGAGGATTAGGGTTTTTGCCAAACCCTAATTTCCGTTTTAGCATCATAGTTAGTTATTTCCACATTAGTTGATTAGATTGAATAATTGGCTAAGTGCATATTGCACGTAGAATCGCCAAGGGTAGGATTGCTAATTTACTCATTATTATTTGCTAGACTGGGCTGCCTAGGAAGGAAAGCCCACGTGAGGCCCAACCGTCGGGGGTTAAGCCTCCCTTATTAGGGCCCATATCCACTGCACCCTTAGTCCATTTTCTTACTAGATTAGGTTTTTGACTTGTAGCCTATATAAGGCACCATATTACATCATTAAAGGGTAGACACTTTTATCATAAAATATTTGAGAGAATTTTCTCCATAGCTTTCGAGCAACCCTTGAACAACTTAGAGTTTTACTCTAGTGTTCTTGTTTGGCTTATCAATTCAAGAACCACACTTGAATTGTGGCGCCTTCTACACTTGCCTGAGGTTCGCTAATTCGTTTGATTACGGGTTGAGATAATATCAACAAGTTCGTAGTCACGGGATTAGAGGGGTCGTAAGGTTTCCGCTGCTACCGTTTCTTGCATTCGAAGTCAAATCCAACAAGTGATCTTGGGTCGCGAATCTTCTCACCAACAAGATTCGTATCACAAGTTTTTAGGAATTAAAGAAAAAGTTGACCATGGCGCCGGTTTTAGTTCTGCCAAACGAAATTGACGGCTTTGTTGTTTATACCGACGCGTCACTGGAAGGTCTAGGTTGTGTGCTAATGCAGAACCGAAATATGATAGCATTTGCTTCTAGAAAGTTAAAACCCCATGAGCAGAACTACCCAACCCATGATTTGGAATTAGCCGCGGTTGTTTTTGCTCTGAAGAAGTGGAGGCACTATCTGCACGGGTAACATTCGAGGTGTACTCAGATCACAAGATTCTTCGGTACCTCTTTTCACAAAAGGAGTTGAATATGAGGCAGCGCGATGGATGGAATTTCTGGAGGATTACGACTGTACTATCAACTACCATCCGGGAAAGCGACCAATGAAGAGGAGTTTAGTGCACCCGAGGGTCACTTTGGGACCGCCTTGGTTGCACGAAGAGCATTAACTGCACGTGTTAAGGAGGACGAGCTTCAACGGGAGAACATCTTCTACACTAGGTGCTTCGTCAATCAAGCACTTTGTAGTGTGATTATTGATAGTGGGAGCTGCACAAATGTAGCTAGTTCACTCATGGTGGACAACTTGAAACTGCCTACGAGGGATCACCCGCGCCCCTACAAACTCCAATGGCTCAACAATTCTGGGGAGGTTCGAGTAAACAAACAGGTTCTTATATCCTTCCAAATTCATAAATACTCTGATGAAGTATTATGTGATGTTGTACCTATACAGGCTAGTCACATTATACTAGGTAGGCCTTGGCAGTTTGACAGGCAGGTAACTTTTGATGGTGTGACTAACAAGTATAGCTTCTTGTACAATAGTAAGAAAGTCACCCTAGCTCCCCTTTCCCCAAAATAAGTGCATGAGGGCCAATTGAAATTGCAACAAGAGTTTGAGAAGTATAGTGCAAAAAGAAAAGAAAATGAGAGAGCCGAGGCAAAAAAGGAAAGGAAAAAGGCTATAGATAACTCGGCAAGTGAGGTAAAAATCGAGGGAAAACAAATGCGCCTAATAAAAGCCAAGAAAGTGAGGAAGTTAATGGGAGATGAGCAGCCACTTCTTATGCTTTTTAGCAAGGAAGTAGCCTTGAATGTGCATGAACTTGATACTGATATACCTCTCGAGGTTAAGTCTCTTTTACAGGAGTACGCTGATGTCTTCCCCGAGGACATGCCAAGTGGATTGCCACCACTTAGGGGCATTGAGCATCAAATTGACTTCATCCCTGGAGCTTCATTGCCAAATCGCCCAACATACAAGAGCAACCCGGAGGAGACTAAGGAGTTACAAAGGCAAGTGGACGAGTTGCTTGGCAAAGGATGGGCACGTGAGAGTTTAAGCCCGTGTGCTGTTCCAGTCATTCTGGTGCCCAAGAAAGATGGTACGTGGAGAATGTGTACCGATTGCAGATCCGTAAATGCCATCACGGTAAAGTATCGCCACCCTATACCTCGCTTAGATGACATGCTTGATGAGTTACATGGGGCTGTGTTCTTTACCAAAATTGATCTCAAAAGTGGGTACCATCAAATTAGGATTAAGGAGGGGGATGAATGGAAAACTGCCTTCAAAACTAAGTATGGCTTGTATGAGTGGTTAGTGATGCCTTTTGGGCTAACTAATGCACCTAGTACCTTTATGAGGTTAAGGAATCATGTTCTGCGTCCATTCTTAGGAAAATTTGTGGTAGTTTACTTTGACGATATCCTAATTTATAGCAAATCTTATGATGAACACCTAGAGCATATTAGGGCTATTATGGATGTACTTCGAAGAGAGAAGCTCTATGCCAATCTCAAGAAGTGCAATTTTTGCACTAACGAGCTTGTGTTCCTAGGGTTTGTTATAAGTGCGCAGGGAATAAAGGTGGATGATCAAAAGGTGAAAGCTATTCAAGAGTGGCCAACACCAAGGTCTGTGGGTGACGTTCGAAGCTTCCATGGCCTTGCAGGTTTTTATAGGAGATTTGTGAGGGACTTTAGCACTATTGCTGCACCCTTGATCGAGTTGATCAAGAAGAATGAGAACTTCCATTGGGGAGATTTTCAAGAACAAGCCTTTCGCGCTTTAAAGCACAAACTCACACATGCACCTGTACTTGCTTTACTTGACTTTTCTAAGATATTTGAAATTGATTGTGATGCTTTAGGTATTGGAGTTGGAGCTGTGTTGAACCAAGGAGGAAGACCTGTTGCCTACTTTAGTGAGAAACTCAATGGGGCTGCACTGAACTACTCGACTTATGATAAAGAGTTGTACGCCCTCATTCGAGCACTACAAGTTTGGCAACACAACTTAAGCCCTAAGGAATTCGTGATACACACTGATCATGAGTCCCTTAAATACCTTAACGCTCAGCATACCTTGAGCAAAAAGCATGCAAGGTGGATCGCATTCGTGGAGTCCTTTCCATACGTGATTAAATACAAGGCTGGTAAGTCTAATGTAGTTGCGGATGCACTCTCACGAAGGTACTCTCTACTCACTTCCTTAGATGCTAAGTTGTTAGGGTTTGAGCTTATTAAAGACATCTATGCACAAGATAGTGATTTTGGTGAACTTTACCTTTCTTGCAAACACACTGGGCAAGGTAAATTCTTCATTTCCGATGGTTACTTGTTTTATGCCAATCGGCTTTCCATCCACGAACTTTTGGTACGAGAATCCCATTCGGGTGGCCTTATGGGACATTTTGGGATTGATAAGACTCTTGCCATGCTGCAGGAGCACTTCTATTGACCGCACATGATGAGAGATATTGCACGGGTGGTGGAGCGATGCTTAGCTTGTAAGAAAGCTAAATCCAAGGTACACCCGTATGGCCTTTACACCCCGTTACCTATTTCTAGTGCACCATGGGTTGACATTTCTATGGATTTTATACTTGGTTTGCCTAGATCCAAGTATGGCCATGACTCCATTTATGTGGTTGTTGATAGATTCTATAAAATGGCACACTTCATTGCTTGTCATAAAATGGATGATGCATCTCATATTACTAATTTGTTTTTTAAAGAGATTGTGAGATTGCATGGCATTCCTAGGACCATTGTATCTGATAGAGATGTTAAATTCCTGAGCTATTTTTGGAAGACACTCTGGTCTAAGTTAGGCACCAAATTGCTATTCTCTACTGCTAGTCACCCCCAAACTAACGGTCAAACCGAGGTGGTAAATCGTACATTAGGTACCTTGTTGCGTGCCATCATCAAAAAGAACTTGAAATCTTAGGAAGAGTGTTTACCTCATGTTGAGTTTGCTTATAATAGGGCTATCCATTCTACTACTGGCTTCTCTCCATTCGAGTGTGTTTATGGTTTTAATCCGCTAACACCACTTGATCTAGTGCCATTACCTAATAATGAGCGTGCGCGTTTGGATGGTAAGAAACGTGCAGAGTTTGTTAAGCAACTGCATGAGAAAGTCAGGGCCAACATTGAGAGGAGAACTTCTCAATATGTGAAGCAAGCCAACAAAGGGCGCCAAAAGCTGATTTTCGAACTCGGGGATTGGGTGTGGTTGCACATGAGCAAGGAACGATTCCCTGTTCAAAGGAGAAATAAATTACACCCACATGGTGATGGACCGTTTCAGGTGTTGGAGCGCATCAATGACAACACCTACAAACTTGACCTTCCTGGTGAGTATGGAGTTAGTGCTACATTTAATGTCTCTGACTTAGCTCCTTTTGATGCAGATGATGCGTTTGATTTGAGGGCAAATCCTTCTCAAGAGGAGGGGAATGATAGCATCATGGTACGTGGGCAGGCCAACAATGGCTCGAGTAATCGAGGAGCTAAGGATCACGTGTATGCCCCAAGTGGACCCATTACTAGGGCTTGCGCAAAGAAACTTCGTGAGCAACTCAATGTACTTATTCAGGCCATACACAAGTCTTTTGAAGGATTCATACACTCAAGTGAAGGTGGTCGCGGTCCGATAATGAGCATTGAAGCTACACTTGAGGATTAGGGTTTTTGTCAAACCCTAATTTCCGTTTTAGCATCATAGTTAGTTATTTCCACATTAGTTGATTAGATTGAATAATTGGCTAAGTACATATTGCACGTAGAATTGCCAAGGATAGGATTGCTAATTTACTCATTATTATTTGCTAGACTGGGCTGCCTAGGAAGGAAAGCCCACATGAGGCCCAACCGTCGGGGGTTAAGCCTCCCTTATTAGGGCCCATATCCACTGCACCCTTAGTCCATTTTCTTACTAGATTAGGTTTTTGACTTGTAGCCTATATAAGGCACCATATTACATCATTAAAGGGTAGACACTTTTATCATAAAATATTTGAGAGAATTTTCTCCATAGCTTTCGAGCAACC